AATTTGGCTGGAACTTTTCGAGAATAGTTTTCGGAATAATGCTCAGGATCGCTCCACAATTACTCTCATATAGTTTCTAAAGGATTGGATAACAGACGCCCAATTTGGAAAAATTTATGCACAAAGTGATCACAGATTTTATGTGGTATAGATGCTGGCATAACGGTTTTTGCCTAGGTACTCGTACGCGTCTATAGTTTTGAAATGGACTGCAATCATGGCCCAAATTTGCTCAGCCTACATCGATATTTTGCCGCACAATTTTGCCACAAAATTTTCGATATTCTGCTTGGCATTTCCTTTCTCCGTCAGTATTTTGCTTTGGTTTTGCTCGAGATAAAATGAGTTTCAAGGAAAAATCAACGATAATTGTCGCTGATGGCGCCGGTATTGTTGATTGAGCTTCTGCTGCTGCTCACCTCTCTACAAAAATGTAGCCACGAGTCTGCTTTGTCCAACATTTGTGCTCATTTTCAACCTTGACTACTGATTGTGTTGGGAAAGTCCCTAAGAAGCCTTGGATTTTCCGAAAAGCCCACCAAAACTCGATATTTTGCTCAAAACTTGCCGGCAACTTGCGCATCCGATATTTTGCTCAAAGAATTGCTAGCAAATTTGGGCTAGTCCCGATCCGGCCCGACATGTCAAGTTGACGTCATTATTTATTTATTTTTATTTTTTCTTGGTAAACCGGCCTCTTGTACGGGCAGAATTAAGTAACACAGTGATACAATAAAAACAAGTACCAGTAGTTACATACATGGACCATACGAGTAAAAGCAGTGATGACGAGGCATAAACAAGTGTCTAGTGCTGTATGGCAGCTTCCGAGACAGCGAGTCGAGCGGATGACTCAGCCACCTCCGGGTGCGAATACAGCCGTCGTGCACCACGCAGGCAAGCCACGCCTGCACGGAGAAGGGCGAAGCTGAACCTGCAGCGGATCCATGCCATCACTGCAGAGTATGGCTCACCAGATTTGTCGGAGACCATTGCAGCTATTCTCTTGAGGAGAGCGGCAGCAGCTCGACCAGTACCACCAGTTGCAGCGAAAACCACAGGGATGAAGGTTCCACGCTCGACCTCCTTGACGCGCTGTTCGTATCGCCTCCGTTTTTCACGTTCATGACGCTGGTAGCAAGCGGTGATGGAAGAGGATCGATTTGAGGGAGCAAAGGGGTTGAAAACCCGAATATCGAGAAAGACTCTCTCAAACCGACCTCCCCAAACACCACTCGCCGCAACATCAAGTCGAGCCTGGTCTTCTGTGGAGGCAGTCTTGTAGCGGAGCTGCTCACCAGAGAGCGGTTGTAAGTGTGGCTCGATAGCGACACTATTGGCGACACGTTTCAATAGCGAGGCAGTGATGTCCCGCACCTCATTGTGTCGAAGTGACGGGAAACCTCCGGTGCTGCATGTCAGGGCATGGGCTACTGTGAAGCTGGCTCCACAGACACAGGTTGACGGTAAGCGAGAAGGCCGCCAGCCATAGCGCAGTGCCAAACCATCGCGGAACTCGCTTTTGGATAGCACAAATCCATGACGGGATAGCGGACGACAAGTAAGCCAGCTGGAGGCGCCAGGCTCACTTGCCAACTGAATTGTGTGCTGCAAAGTGGGCGATGCGTCGGCAGCGAAGCCACGGATGTCGGTCTTCGCTTTCTGGCGGTGATCTGCACGCTGTGACGCTTTGGCTGAGGCAACGCTGGCAAGAGCTTCCGTCACACTGAAGTCTTGGTCGAGGATGTTGGTGGTGAGCGCCGCTGTGATCGCGCGGGATGAGGCGTATTGGGTTGTTAGAGATGTTGGATTGACGATGCCCAGGCCACCATCCCGGCAAGGGAAGGCAAACAGCCGTCGCAGCTCCAGACTGACGTCTTCTCCAGTCAGGGCTGGCAGCAGCTTGGTAACAATGGCGTGTTCCAACTGATCAAGACCACTGGACGCATCCGGCAGAACACGACACAAGAATGTCCAGCGGCATGAGAGAGCACGAACAAAAGTAGTGTACGCTGCCTGGGGCTGGGTACGAGCGAAGGATGAGAGTGTCTCAATCTGCTTGCACCATTCATTGGCCTTCTCCTGGATGAACCCGTGGATGTAGTCGGGCGTGCCAATAGCGGAACCCAGGTAGCGGTTGCCGTCAGATGTTACTTGGATGCCAGTATCAGCGAAGAGGCGCACAGCGTCGTCGTAGGCATGTGGCTTGACCACAAGCACAGACTTCCGGGCATTGAGGTGATATCCGTAGGACGGACCTTCAGCCTGCAGCTTGTCCCACCACGATCGAATTGCTACCAGACGACCACCTGCAGATGAATCGTCCGCGTACCATAGCTGGCAGGTGTCCGGGGTTGCTACCGCTCTCACAAGTGGGAGGATGCCGAGGGCATAGAAAGGCATCGCCAGGGGGTCCCCCTGGGTTGTGCCTTCTTGGGACAGAATACACTCCCCTGCCACATACAAGTTGCTCGGCCGCCGGTACGAATTGATCACAACTGCTGCAAGAGAGGGGCATTGGTGGCGAATGTTTCGGATGGCCACATTGCGGTTCAGGTTATTGAACGCATTGGCCGCGTCCGCCATAATGACGCCCTCCGTTTCTTCTTGGGCGTAGACTTGGTGCATGGCATGAATGGCTGCCTCTATGCCGAAATCCTGGCCACCACAGAGTTGCAAACTTCCCGCTGCTTTCTGGATGTCGTCGCTGATGACGATCAGGATGCTTCGGCCGATAATGCGGCGCACTACCTCCCCGATCCCGATCGGTCTCACCCCTGGGTTCTTGTCCAGAGGGACCAAACGGGAGGCGAGATAGGCCTCCAAGGCCACCGGATCGACGAACTGGGTAGCCAAACGGCGAGCACATAGGACTAGTGCATCACAGAGAGAGTCCGAAGCATCTGCAAAGCTGGTTGCCATCCATCTCCATGTGTCCGCGTCTATGCCTGATGGACCCGCAGCACCATGAGTGTTTAAAACAGCCTTCCTCATTACTTCACGTGTCAGGGCCTCGAATCGTACTGGATGGGGTGGTTCCGGGATGTCTCCTTGTATCAATGCTTGCAGGCTGGGCGGGCTGCTTTCCGGGTGTTTGGCTCTGAGTACATCCCTAACAGTTGATCCATCAATCTTCTCATCCAGGTGGAGGAGCCCCGTGGCTGCCGAACCGTCCAACTCACGTACTGCGGCTGACAGTTTTCCATTGTTGACCAAAGATGCAAATTTCTTGGCCTGATTCTCATTCTGGCTGCCTGGATGTGGTCGGGTGTGATAGTCTTCCAACTGCTGCTGGATGGTGTGGCACTCGTGGAGTAAGCTGGCTAAGTCTCCATTGTTCCAGGAGTTGAGGCGGCGTTGCAGAATAGAGGATAGCGAGATCGGTGTTGGAGTATGGGGCTTCTGCAAGAGAAGCTGCTGAAACACCATGGCTACTTTCATAGCCAGTCCATCATACGTCCCAGCGTTGCCAAAACATGATAAATAGCGGCTCAGTTGTGACACAAATGCCTTTCCGACAGACCCTCGTGGTGGGCTGAAGGCGTTAGGACGGAAGTGAACTGCCTCATCGTAAGCTTCTGTGATGGCTGCCTCTGAAGCAGCCTCCTCCAGATCTCCAAGTCTGAAACCAACTTTCCTCGAGGTAGTGTAATCAGGTAGGTCGTACTGTGTGAAGGGAGGAATCTCAGGGTCTTGAGATGCCGGTTCGTGTGCATCCTCTGTGGGTAAGCTTTGGGCAATTTCCGCTAGTAATCGAGCATCCTCTTGGAGCGAAGAGTCAGTGTCACTGTCACTGCCTATTTCACAGGTTTCGGGTGCGCATGCAGCAGGGACACACGGCGGGTTCCGGCAGTCATTCAACAGTGCTGTTGTGAGTGCAGCTGCATGAGCCGCGGTGATCTCGTCCGCGTTCTGCTCGACAGCCACTTGCATTGTGGCCGATCCGCGAGTTTCTTGCGGCTGTTGATCCGTGACATTTACCGTATCATCTGTACGTCCGTTGATTCCCGTAGCAGCTTCAAAACTGCTACCTGTACGAGCCTCCCCAACTGTCGACTGGGAGCTGGGTGTTGGGGTTCGGTTTCGGCAATGATCCTTCGCCGAAGGATAGCAGTTTGTGCAAAGGCGGCCAGCCTTGTTGCATTCACACCTGACACAGGTGGATTTGCCGTTGCAGCGGCAACATCGTCCACTCTGCATCATGAGGCACGTTTGACAGGCACAAGGCCGCTGGCATAAACTACCAAAAAGCTGTCATTGACTGGAGCTACAAAAATCCCAACCGTAAGCTACGAGTACATTTCAAACCCTCGCAATGCTCCTTGCACCAGTGATTTACAACATGTGTTCGGCAGGCGATGCGCCGTTTTGCGAAAAGTCGACGTTTAGAGGTTTTATTATCCCAAATGCCAAAGCGCGGGAAAATTCAAATGCAAACAGCTGCATTTTGGAGACGTATTTTTTATCGACAGTCGGGCAGTCAATGCCAATTTTCTCAAGAAGAAGAGTATTCAGAGGCATTGTTGTGCATTTTCCGTTGATACTATAATGTGTGCCCTAGTGTTTGCATGAGCGAGGGTGGTGGTTTTGCTAAACCGTTCGCATGGCGGGCGGGTTTGTAAGAAGAAAGGCTTCAGCCATTGACGAGCGACGAGAAACCTGTCATTTCGTGCCATTTGAGTTAGCAGTAGCACCGGACAATACTGACACATGTCTGCGGCAGCAAACATAGTGTACTAACGGATCAAAAACAGCCACAATGTGTGTCACTGCGGAAACGGGCTGTAGAGGTGCATTTGCAAAGCTGCTGATTTTCGTCGTCTTTCCATGCACAGGGTACGTATCATGCCCTTGGCATAGGCCAAAGCACGAAAGCTTTAGTTGGACACCACCCACAATCTCCACGTGGGTCCCAGTGTACCTGCTGCTGCCGATGAGAACCGCCCTACTAGTATAAGCGGTTTACCCACCCATGTGTCCTCAATACGACTGAGAATACATCAGAAGTACGCCATAAGCATTGGAAACCTGTACAGTTGAATCCAATTTAGACCAGAATGTCTGTATTGGTTGGAAATGCATTGCACCATTCCACTGAAACGTTAACACACAAGAACAGGAAAAGGATGTAACAGAAAACGAAAGAATGTAACACAAAAGATAATCCCAAACCGTCCAGCGGAAAAAAAGAACGTGGGAATAAAAGCACTGTGGCTGGTGTAGGAAGCAAATACTGCAAATACTAGGCTAAACGGGAAGTACCAAATTATATGGTTGTCGAGCATCTCCTCAGAGTCGACAAAGGGATAACGGAATGAGAGAGACCGACTAATTTTCGTCAAAACTGTCACAAGCCAGCAGCTGGTGATTGTTGAGGAAGGTAGTTACACCACTGACCGACACCACTGCTGTGGGTAATGATTACGTGCATCGACCATTGACATTGTGCAGCACCTGGCAGCAATAAACCAGACAAAGCAGTACAATACCATGCAGAAGATGAAATGCTTGACGGAGTATAATAAGTAGCAGACAAACTGTTACACAATGGAGCAACATTATTTGCTAAAATGGCATAAATATATTATTACTTTGACGAATACCCTCCACATAACATTCCCGCTACAAGCATTACCAACTCTACTGTCCCTGATGCAGGAGGGACTAGTGGCATACATTCCTACTGCATACCCCAAAGCTAAGAAAGGTGGCATCATGCTCATGTGAGCCAGTTGGGTACCACCCAAGCTCTGCACCGGGCTCTGTCCAGGTGCCTACACACAACCCTGGAGGACGAATGCAACCCCAAAACACGATGTAGTAAAGGGCAAGTCCATGGAAACAGCTGTCAAAGTTATCCACCAAATTGACCTACAGCAGGCCAATGTACAGTGGAGGAGAGTACCGAGAAACTAAGAATAAAGGACTTATCGTCTGTTTGTCAGACTATCTGTCCCCGGGGAAAATCGCGATTCCGCGGCCGCGTTTTTTCCCCCCGCGTTTTTTTGCGATTTTTAAAAGACCACGTTTTCCGCGATTTTCCCCGCGTTTTTTGAACTTTTTTGTTGCGCTACACGTACACACAGTGCACTGTTCGGTTGACCGTTGTGAGCCGTTGACGTCAAGTAGAGAGTCTACGTGTAGGGCGCGCGCTCCATAGCATACACATGGCACATGACCTGCTCCCCGGTAAAACTGCCTCATATTAACTGCAAACTTGCCGCATATCAATAATAATCACCGCAAATTCACCGCAAATTATGCCATATTTACCCGCAAATTCTGTGATTTTTCCGCGATTTTCCCTGGGGACAGGACTATCCACCCCAAGCTATGGTCATGAGGGTGGACAATACTGGATGGTGACAATTCCACCTCGCTCTCGTTTTCTCCCCTGGAATGAAGCTTCACACACATACATGTACCTGTAGTACCTGTGGTGTCTACAAGTAGTATGAACAGTCCTTCATGCACTCCACTGCTTTCTATAAAAGCCTGTCTTATGCAGAAGCCTGTTCTGAACACAAGCCTGAGTTTCAAGATATGCAGTTAGCACAATAATGTGGATTTTGCATCGGCAACCATAAAAAGTTTGGTTTGACTACAAACATAATGCAACATAATGTAAATAGAGGCCTAGCCACCACACCGACTTCTACAGAAATACGCCTGGCTTTCATACACGACATTACAGTAAGTCATCCAGTTCGCACTCACCCACTTCAGTTGCTGCTTGCAGACGTATTAGGCGCATACAGCCAGTCAAGTACGCTTGCAGGGATCTTTTCTCAACGGGGAGTAACGGCTGGCCATAATACCTACAATGGTGAACATAGCAAAAGGGAAGGGCATTCAAGACCTGCAGCTCCATGTATACATGCCGAGTGTGAGCGTGGTGTCTGTGGACAAAATCGACAAAGAGGTACCCTGGCAACAAATGTAGTGCCAGGATGCCAGCAGAAGGCTACGTGGCACACCAGTCCAACATGTAAATCAACTACCATCCACTGGTCACACTAGCCCAATTGATGCAAGTACCACAATTGAAGTTCCATGGCCATTTGCCTGCCACATGCCAATCACAACAAGCACTGAAGAAGAAACTGAGACTTCGCGACGTCAAAGCAAAACACTAACACAGACAGGCGGGTTCCACACACAGTGAAACTTCAGTATGAAGTAGTACCAAGAGTCCATGGATGGCGGTGCCGTAAAACCTACAAGTGGAATTCAGCTACACTGGAATTGTTGTCTCTGATTATCGCTTAATTTAAGCAACAAAATCTACTATCAACTACCCACCTCTTCAAGGTAGGGATTGTGAAGAACCAATGACCCCTAGTCATGGTGTGAGGCTCTGACAAACATCTTGCAGCAGTCAGACAGCCTGTCACAGACCTGACAAAAGGCTGCGGGTGCAAGTCCGGCTGCAGGATCATACAATGCAAGTGCAAAAGGCAAATCTGTTATGCAGGCCAGGGCTAAAATGCCACACTTTTAACAACACCTCCGCGAGGGAAGAACGCAACAGTTCCAGTAAGCAAAAGGTTGTTTCATTTGAGGAGACTGAAAAGCAAGAAACCAGCAACGAATTGGACCAAGATTGAGTCAATGTGCACACAGGTGATGCGTGCATGTTCTTGTTTACTGGAATTATGGCATATATGCTAGAAACATGGAATGCACTACGAATTCTGACCTGAAATACACAAATATACACATTTGCCTGAGTTTCAATGAGCATGGATAGACGTGGAACACAATACTTCCACTGAAAATGGTGATATACCGGAAACACAATCCATCTGCTGCTATATGGGTGAGAAACTATTGTAACCTGGGATATTTTGAAACTTAGGTGTGATGAAATGTCACTTTCGTGGATTTTACACGTATCACAAAAAAATTCTTTCATTTCGTGCCATTTGAGTTAGCAGTAGGTCTGGACATAGACATGACCAGATCTTTACACAGGTTGGTTGGGACTATCTTTCTGCTATCTCGGATATTGTGTAAGATGTGATGGAGTCCATTACTGGCTGAACACCAAAGGAGGGAGGAAATTTCTACGACTGTACTGTAAGAAAACGACAACACGAAACTTCCCAATGGCTCAATAGCTGACCCCAAAAATATTACGGATCACTTTAGTACTTACTCAAGTCACATCGAATTCCTTATCGGCGGGCTCCAGGCTGTGGAACGCCTCCAGTGGGTCTGAATGTTCGACAACGTCAGCCATTACTTCTTCACGGAATCGTCATCTTCACCTCTGTACAAAATGAGCTGACCGGGATAATAAAAAAGGGCTTTTTTTCGCTCTGGCGCATCGACTGTTCGGGTACGGGTGTCAACGCATCACACGTTTTTCTGGATACATGTACCATGTGTACAGGATCGATCGGCTTCGGTCAACCACATGCACAGGTTTCGGATTCGTCTGCATGGATAATCCGTGTGCAGTGCGCATTGAATATTGCATCATCAAAATGACGTCAACTTGCTACTAGTAGTACCAAGAGTACATAACCCCATGTACTCTTGGTAGTACCAAGAGTCCAAAAACAGTTACTTTTGAGTCTTGGTAGTACTAGCACGAGTAGATCTACTACATGACTAAAATTAATGTACATGAAGTGCATGCATGTGTACGTGTTGGTACTACCAAGAGTCCATAGCGCTAGCGCGAGCGTCCATTATGGACTCTTGGTCCTGTACTACATGTACGGCCACGCGAGTTTTCGGGCACGTAATTATTTCCATCCGCTTTGCAGTCTTGCCTGCTTTTCATAGTTACTCGCGTCCCAAATAACCTGCCGCCATATTAGGGACGCGAGTAACTATGAAAAGCAGGCAATTCGCAAGAGGGTGGAAATGATTACGTGCCCGAAAACTCGCGTGGAAGTAGCACCAACACATGCACTTCATGTACATAATATTATTAGTCATGTTGTACTCTTGCTAGTACTATTAGTAGCAAGCTGGCGTCGCTCCCCTCTAATCACAATCACAACTTCTCCTTTTGTCATACTGCGATTGAGCTCTTGTCTTTCGGTTAGGTTAACTCCGTGCTCCCAGTGGATACATCTGACTTTGCTGCTCTCGGTGAAGCCGCACTATTGTTTCGCTTTTTCAACTAGCTGCTGCTGTGGCTGCTTGTGTGCTGGTGGCTGACCGTTGCAGTACTACCTGTCCTTCCCGGATGGTCGACATGGTAAGAGGGTGTGATTGCCATACGGGGTGTTCTGCTAAACAAGAAAGACTCCCTATATGTAAGAGGCGATTCTTGTCGCCTCTAGGAAACATGATATTGCGCTCTGTCAAAACGACTACCGGTATTGTCCGTCTTTCAAGTGTTGCAATTACTCCACATAAATGTTGACCGGAGCATTGCTGGAGATGGGAACTTTCGGGTGTCATTAGTAGTTTTGCTCATTGCGTGGAACTAGTGTGTGCTGCTAATTGACTAGTAATGACTACAAGTTTTTACACCTGAAATGAAAACTGGTGAACAGGGCTGGAAACTGTGACGTCAGGTCGTTGACAACTAACTTCGTGGCAACTGGGTACACAAAACCAGTGTGTCCTCACCCCCTCACGTGGGGTTTGGAAGTGAACTTTGCAAATTTCACAGAGTACTTGCACAGACTAGGGTAGATATAAACTGAAAACCGTCTTTCCTTTTTTTGCAAGGGTCTGCTAGCTTAGTCCTCATTTCTGCAGGGCGAAGGAAAGTATTGACTCACATGAAATTAATATTACCAAAATATTAATAATATTACTGCGATGTGAGCCCTGCACTTTCTGTTGAATTTCTGGGGAGAAAGAATATCCATATCTATGCGCATGAGACAACAAAGAAGAAGAAAATTTGTAGGTAAGGCCCTCATCAGACTACGTACATAGAAAATCCAGTACAAAATCACGTAAAACCTAAAAGGCAACATTTTTCCATGCCTGCATTCAGACTACACATTTTACATGCAAAATACAGGCAACCTTTGACCCTACGAAATTGGGCAAGGGGCCTGGGATGTGTGAAAGCAGCGGACAGTCGTACCCGGGTACAAAGTTCGTACAACTGCCTGGTGAAAGTACGATAAATGCAGGAAAGTTGCCTTGTACAAGGGTTGGCACCCTGCTTGAAAGGATTGGGCAGCTTCTTAGGCTTCCCGCCAGATTCTTGTTGTTGTCTTAGAAACTTCCATGTAAATGTGACTTATAGCCGCTGTTTTGTACCTAGTCTGAAGAGGGACTAGGGCTGCAACCACACTAGGCACAAAATCACGTACAAACGGCATTACAGTAGAAATCGTCATGCCGACGCGTGCGAAATTCACAATGCGCTTTGTAGGTTTTCAGCAACTGGGGCACCCCTGTAGAAAGCCTCGTTTGTCGTTTTCATCGTTTTCGCGCTCCATCTCCTGTGTACAACTTTGTTTTTGTACCTGGTCGTCGTACATAGCATCAGCATCAGCATTGTTTTTGAATTTCCCGGTCTTTTCCAGCGCATGGTACACGCTTTGGTACGACAACGTCACGTGCTGGTCGCGTGAAAACGTCATCTATGCAGACCGAAAAGTGTAGTGTGGTTGCGTACCGACTTGTACTGAGATATGCATGGAAGTTTGTACTGTGATTTTTACGTAGTGTGCTTGCGGTCTAAGGTGCATGGAGGGGGACTAGAGCAGGGGAAACTGTACTAAAATCTGACCTCACCGAGAATACCGTAATGTCGCGTATAAAAGCAGGTGCTGACGGCCGTATAAGCCAGGGTTCAAACCACGCTTCTATTCAAGTTATGCTTCTATTCAAAACATTCTTCTAGGTCAACATCTTCAGTCTACACTGTGCAGTGCACATCGTCACGTATGTAGTGTGCAAGTACGAGCACGTGTCGTTGCACAGAGCGGCTTCTATCCAAATCGTGCTTCTGTGTCAAATCGCGCTTCGAAAAACTGGCTTCTCGTTTTGTCAATATTCCTAGCACCCGAATATAATAATTATAAGCGGGTTTGCATACTTCACTTGTGGCATTCAGGACAATAAAGAAACAGAAAAAAACAGGGCTACAAAGCCATGAGCATTCGTTAGATCATAACTCGGGTTTGTAGAATGTTTCTAACCTTTCTCCTCCCAACTTTCCCATGTGGGAACATGATTTTAACAGTACCTTGATGAAACAAATCACAGTTGGCGTCAGATTCGGCTAGAGGCCAAGTTTTCTGCATCCATAGGAACGCCACCACCCATCAATGATCTAGGCGCAGATGCAGCTCCTAAAGCGGTGGGAGGCGAGTAGATCAGCTCACCACCAAATGGTCAAAAACAGAAAATGCCTTGACAGTGAAGTTTGGCAGTGAAGCTGCAAAAAGAGAAATCTTTGGATAGGATATCGGATGTACAGCGCTATAGGAATGGATGTGTCCACCCAAATTCCTTTCACTTTGAATTTGAATTCTTTATTTTAACGATGGCACCTTTGCCATCTTTGAATTTTTTTATTCTCACGATGGCCCACGGCCAATAAGAGAAAAAAGAAATACAGGCACGGGAATCGGATAAAGAGAAATCAAAGTTTAGCTGCTTGCTAAACTAGTAGGGATGGTAAAAAAAGAGTTGATCACGAATCTTCTACAAAACATTGTCAGGAAGGGAAATAACATGAGAGGGAAGGGAGAGAGGGCTGTAAGGCACACTACAATGAGAATGCCAGTATTGACGCATACACAGCTTTCAGAATTTTTACACGGGATTCGGAAATGTTCTGGCCAGGGCAAAACATTTTTCTGAGTGCTGATGTATGTCTGTATGCTTTTTTTGCCTTTCAAATCTTTGTGTGTCTCAGGCAACGGCATTTAGATTGTCATGGATCCTTCTCGTCTCCGTCGTATTCTCTTCTGCAAAAATTATCGATATAGATGATATCTTGGATGTTCCACATGACTTGGGTAGGGACCTGATCTGTGCATAGTCTGCCATAGAGTGTGGAACATGAAAGAGAAAAAAATATGCTCTCATTAGTGTTGATTAAAGTCTAAGCGTTGAGCAGTGAAATGTACTGGCCCACTGACTGAGGCAAATTATAGTGAAATCTGCCTAAGACGACTGCTTAAGGCACCTTCAAAACCGGGTCTCTGATATTTGGTGGTCTCATTCTAAATAATCATTTAACAGTGATCTTCTGGCACAGGTGGTCGCCTCATCAGAGTGGCGCCTTAGAAGGTTTTGCGGTATCAATAATCGTGCCACCCCCTCTCCTGCCCCCCCCCCCCCCTTCCTCCCCTTTCCCAATTCCTTCCTGCAACCCCTCCCTTGTTGTCTCCACTGCCCACTTCCCCTCTCCACCGCCCACTTACCCTCTCTACCGCCCACTTACCCTCTACACCGCCCACTTACCCTCTACACCGCCCACTTCTCCTCCCCATCACCCACTTCCCCTCCCCACCGCCCACTTCCTCTCTCCACCTTCCACTTCCTCTCTCCACCGCCCACTTCCGCTCTCCACCGTCCACTTCCTCTCTCCACCGCCCACTTCCTCTCTCCACCGTCCACTTCCTCTCTCCACCGTCCACTTCCTCTCTCCACCGTCCACTTCCTCTCTCCACCGTCCACTTCCTCTCTCCACCGTCCACTTCCTCTCTCCACCGTCCACTTCCTCTCTCCACCGTCCACTTCCTCTCTCCACCGTCCACTTCCTCTCTCCACCGTCCACTTCCTCTCTCCACCGCCCACTTCCTCTCTCACCTAGCTTGTGCCATATCGCTTGGCTCGTTCGGCGTAAACTCAGCTTGGCGCAGTATGTTTGTTAGCTAGCAGTACTGTGTGCGGTAGCAAACTGGTTGCAAATGCGCTCATGCCTGTCGATCAGGCCGTGTGATTAGCGTATATTCTCTATTATAAGCACAGGTCTCCATTACTAGCACAGTCTCTAATACTAGCACACTGTGAGCACCTTTCGAAACATTACAAGCACAGTCTCTATTATTAGCACGGTCTTGGTGGAAATCAATGCTGCATGCATGATATCTAGCATGTATTTCTTCTTGCTCTGTATGGATGTATTGGTTGAAAAAATATAAGTACGGTCTCCAATATAAGCACGGGGTAGAGGGGTGTTGAAAAAATAGAAGCACGGCGCTTATAATAGAGAATATACGGTACTTGCTTATCATGGTATGTTTTTTTATTATTTTTTTTTACGAAAGTGCACATGCCTAAGTGCACATATAGAATAGAAGAGAACAACAACAGTCATCGTGTTTGCATTTGCATGTGTTCTCTCCTTTCTCCACTAGTTCGATGCCCCGGCACTCGGACAATTTACAAACCACCAGCGAGGAACGACACGTATGCGTCAGCACTCGAATCTTGCCGTCAAATCAAACTTCGGAATTACGAGGTGGCTCGCGTTGCCGTCCCATCTCCATGCGTGACGGACCTGATCTTCCAAAGCAATATACCCTTCACTCACATCTGGAAGGAATCGAATCCCATTCAACCTAGGACCTTTGACGACAAGGTTCACAGCCCCACATCTAAGTTCCACATGCTCTGCGAATATCGTAAGTATCCACACGCCGGGTTGATCAGAGAATTGTTTGATTTTCCGGATACCAGTTGACCAGTTGAGCAGAGTTAACGAAGCAGAAACCTTTCTTGCCATAATTGTTGTGTATGTGTGTGTGCGCGCACGCGTGTGTGTGTGTGTGTGTGTGTGTGTGTGTGTGTTTGCGTGTGTGTGTTTGCATGTGCAGGATTTGTGGAGATATCCTCGACTGTTGGTAAGTATGTAAACCGTCCTTCTCCGCTACATGTACGATCAAGAGTGTGCGGCACCGGAGTAGAAGTCACACCTCCTGTTTAGGTCCCAAACCATAGTCATCCACATTATACCATATTTGGTGCATTAAATCGCACCCGTAACAGGGGCGTCGGAAAGTATTTTAGTGTGGTAGGTTCAACCATCTGAACTGCAGTTTACTGTTGGGGGAGGGATCGCTGAGCCGAATATTTTGGAAATTTAGATCCCAGATCAGTGTATTTTTATTGAATCACGGGGTACCTGGGGCAAAAAGTGGTACGGCCAATACCGTAGTGACCGTACCCTGCGTAATTTGAATCGATACCTACTTCAATGACACTCAGATTGAAGGACTTTACTAAACTTGGCCTCGTTCATTTTCCCGCCGGAGTAAAAAGCGCACCCGATTTTTGATGGTGAATTTTGTGTGTTCAAAGTTCCACGGGCGTTAAACACCCCAACAAACAGTGCATTGAAAGTAGTTCCGAGACAATCGAAGGACTTCACAAGCCTCTGTTACATGACGCACAATGACAGCCAAAGCACGTCCGAAAAACACTAGTACACCCTTTTTCATCAGTGTTGGAATGAACATGCTTGACTTGTTAAGAGTTTTTTCTACAAGAGTTTGCCAGTGTCCATGAACGGTTTGATTTCAAGTGGTGGCCTGGTCACTGTACTGACGGTGGCAGAAGAAACTGGTTCAGTTTAAAGCTCTCATCCTTGCACGTGCGCGTCTGACGTTGCATTCGAAAATATATTTGTGCCCCCTTTTCAGCCCTGTAAAGGCAGACATTTAGTCAGTCGACAATTCCGTCCAACTCCAAAGAAAGACACACACAGACACAAACAAACACAAATACAAAGCTAACGATACGCTCACCGTCACTTACTGACTCCTGGAATAGACCCATTGCACATTGCCAAATCCGGAATGTATGGGTAGTGCATGTGGGTACGCTGGGCTGGAAAGGGTGTTTATGGTACAAATTAAGTCATTGCGCAATAGGTTAATTGCGCGAGTATCGTATGTGAGACAACAGCACGTTCCACTTCACCGAAAAGTACCTGATTTTTTGTTGTTGTTGCTGTGAACATTTCATTTTCTTTATGTCAAATTACCTCAGCTAATCTAAAATGCTCTGCTAGAAACTCCACCCTTTGGATAAACTTCAGAAGGAAATGGCCGTACAGAGTGGCCACTACTGCTTGTTCCATACCAACATCCCAAACAAATGATAAAGTCCGCAAACTAACTCTGGTCAGCATAGAGGCCGACTTCTTCTCCTGCATCAAAGACCTCGTCGAGCGCTATCACCTCCAATCGGAGAGGCTGTGGGTATCAGGTGGACTCTACCACAATGGCAACTTTGAAAGCTTAACTCCTCATAATGCCCAGTATTACAGTATTTGCGAGGATCGCAGAAAACTCTATGGTGAAGGTGAGTTTCTTGAATGGTTCGGCAGCATTTCTGTTTAGTCATTTTTTTAGTCATTGATATAATTAAATATTGAGAAGAAGAAGAATTAGGGGACTTAACTTGGATACTGAACCAATAAATATAATTAAAATAGAAGAAAAATAGAAGAAAACATGTCAGTTTTGTGCCCTGTTATCGCACTTTCTGACTGTTTATTATCTTGCAGTCGTGGATAGTTCCTTCATAACTCCGTTTCCATATGAGTTCTTCTATTTTAATTAGGGGGTTGTCCGTAATTTTCGAAAAATTAAAATAATCTGTTTCCAAGGCAGAAGGGGAGAGTGGTGGTCAAGAGTTCGGGTGGAATTTATTTTTTAAATTCTTTTTCATACACTTGTTGCACTGGAGGTGTGCTGTAGACTACTCTACAGGCAGAACATTTCGTCGGTCAATAATTTCGTCCAACTCCGAAGGAAGGGAGTTCGTCTGCCTGTAAAGTTCGTCCATGGATCATAAGAGTGTATTGAAAAGCTGGACAAGTCGACATTCGTCCGGCATTTTATTTAGTCCAAAACCTCCTTGGACGAAAAAGACGAAATTCAATTCCAGACGAATATTTCTGCTTATACAGTTCTTCAGATGCAGAATGACTTGCCCACTACGCCATGCAGTGAAAGTCAAAGTCCACACAGATATCTCAATCGTAATCCACTTGTTAACCCTTCCTGCTAGGCTGGGTTCCAACTCCACCCATAGTTTGGAATTTCAGGGGGAGGGGGGGGGGGGAGGGGGTGGCATACTGACGAACCACCAAAATCTCAATCCCTTGACAAGACATGCAATGCAGACTACCTGAATTTCTCTCAAAATCGCTGGATGGCACAAAACAAGTGAAGAAGAGCTTTTCCCGCCAAAAAAATGTTTGCCACTCGGCACAGGAATTCTAAACTCTGCGTACAGCACAGGTCGACCATGCAGTGCATTTTGATCAGTTGGCGCGCATCTAGGACGCCTGTCAGTGCAGATCATGCATGTTACAGTCAAATCATGGAGACCCCCTCGATAGGCCTAAACGGAAACTGGGGAATCCTTTAAAAATAAATTATACAAAAAATATACAATTTCATTGGAAACTGGCACCCTAGCTTTTTGGTATCTCCCATACATTGGTGTAGTTATCGTGAAACAACAGTACATTCTGCATTGTGTGACCCGTGCAATTACGGCTTGCCACATTTGAGGCCAGGAAAGTCAAAGAACAAGGAAATAGAAATTCAGCCAGGTTTAACAAAATTGGGATAGGTTTGCCATGGCAAAATGTATGGAGAAGCAGATCCCAAACCCAAATATTTGAGATTTGAAGTGGGTTTTTGATCCTCAAGTCCGCCCAAATCGGACTTTCAAAAGCCAGCGGGACTGTGTCCGATGAGTGGACTTAAGACTGTGTGACTGACTGTCTTGATAGTGCCTTACACAATTTGAAGTGAGAGTGTGCACCGTACATAAATCGGGACATTAGAGGAGTTCCTGGAGTTTTCAGGAAAAACTGGATCAGACAAAATATGACGTTCCAGGGAGTTTGCTGGGAATCGGCAGGATCCCGGGAGTATTGTTGATTTCCTGGGGTTTTCCCGGGAAAATCAGGAGGGTTGGCCTGTATGCTGTCGGCCGATGGGCAGTTCAATAGCCAATTGAGTCATCTTTCGAAGATTTCTTTTGAGTCTCTCTCCCCTCTCCTGGGGAGACCCATGTGACCAATGTTGGCAGTGAGCAAGTACACATGTACACACAAGTATTGTACAGTCTGCTGCAAACGCCCACCCCATTTTTGCAAGATCTGCTGGCCTGTACACACTGACCCCATGCACTGTCACCCCTACTGTACGAAAGTGCATCTCACACCGTAGTGTGAAGAGCACTTTGCTACGGTAAACTATGTCCACTTTCCTGGTTTCAAAATCTCTTTGGGCACTAGCCACGATCGAGCTAGCTCGTAGTGATTTTATAATGATGGTCGTTTTATTTCCCAAATAACAAGGTACCGAAGAACAGAGTATTGACGGAACCAAATACACTTCTGACAGTGTTTCAAGCCATCATTTCGAGATCACACAACGCCCAAAGGCAAATGTTTTTTCTTGGGCACTTCGGAGTTTTCAACAAGTTAGCAGCGACTTTGTAGGTGTAGCTTCTGTGACATACCCTGTTTGACTTGCAACTGCAATATTGGGACCAGTCAAGTCATCGACTGACGCTTAATCAGAACAATTACTGCTCCTGACAGCGCGACATCGTGGCACTGCACACATTTCTACGGCATTACTCGTACCACATGGAGAACGAACTACCACAAAGACGACACATTTATCGAATGAAAGGAAATCTCGACAGAAGTTATTTCTTTGCAGGAAGATAATGACAATCGCTTGTGCACAGCCTCCTGGTAGGACATAGGCAGTTTGTAGGCATTACAGTCGTTCTCGTACGCATTCAACCTTCATGCCAGTTGTTTACAACTATATTGACCTGAAAAGACGAAAATAGTGTGGACCCGCTGGGTGGGCATTTGCTGCGAAGTGGGCGTTTGCTTCGGACTTTACGGTATGGGAACAATGGGAGGATAAAGGTCAAAATTATTATGTGTATGTGTGTGTATGATTGTGCGTGTGTGTATGTATGTGTAATTGTGTATACTTGCATGTATATGCTTGTGTTTGTGTGTGTGTGTGTGTGAGTCTGTGTGTGCGTCTGTGTGTCTGTGTCTTTGTGTGAGTGCCGGTGTCTATGTGTGTGTGTGTGTGTGTGTGTGCGTGCGTGCGAGCGTGTGTGTCTGTGCGTGTGTGTCTGTGCGTGTGTCTGTGCATGTGTTTGTGTGTGTGTATGTCTGTCTGCATCTGTGTGTGTGTGTGTGTGTGTGTGTGTGTGTGTGTGTGTGTGTGTGTGTGTGTGTGTGTGTCACTTCAATCAGCTGTGTGGTGGATACCAGGCTAAAAATAGTGGCGGTCAATTCATCAGCCTTGCAAGCTGTTGAATGGTGTAATCCACAAGTTGCTATGTCTAACATAGCTGTTCGCTATCATCGCTTCCGCGATGGGCAGGTCTGAGGTCTGAGGTCTGAGGTGTGTGCGTGTGTGTGCGTGTGCGTGTCTGTGTGCACTTGGTTCATCAACAGGCTCGAATGCAGGTGATTTTACACAAGAATTCGACTTTGAACGCGCGTACCCCATGAGGGGTTGGGATCTGGTCACGACTACAAAGTTTTACGTAACGAATAACATTGAGCGAGCAGCGCCTCCAAGGTGCCCAAAGACCTACCACCCTACAGAATTACACACTATCTGGAGTGACATCGGTAGTGAATTCAATGTAGATGGACCTAACGGCCCGCTTATGTGTGGTCTACCACATACAAGGCACGGGGCAGTAATAAAAACTTTATTTGAAACGGTAAGCAACCTCTCAGTAGATCATAAGAATGACAACCATGCCACAGTGCTGTGACACATTGAACACAAATCAGGTTGAGGATTTCAACAATCGGGTCAAGCTGCAAGGCCATTGCACGTTGAAGACTTTCTATTACAAAACTCACGTACAGCATTGCTGCTCGCCACAACCCCCCCCCCCCCCCCTTTCCCCTTCTCACATCCACTCTCTTCCTCGCTACCTGGTTCACTGGTTCACTGCATTCATTACATTTTGACCAGACATCCCATTTTCTGCCGACTCACGGCTGTGTTTTCTCCATCCCTCGTGGCCTGTCAGGGTTCTAGCCTAGCTCGGTCCTATGGCTTTGGCAAACTTCGCTTTGCGTCATCATTGCATCGTGCTCCATCTTTGCTGCACAGGAAAAGGTGACCCTTTCCTGTGATCCTTTCCTGTAACCCTTTCCTGCTTCTTTTAAAGCTAAAATTGTGCAAGCGGGACAGACTTGAACTGATTGAGCAACAATGTGAAAAACTCACCAGCCCATAGTGCTTGATTGTGTACGGCAGACTGGATAAGGGTTCTACATGTATATACCCATGATTCTAGTACTCTAGGTGAATGGCTTAGCTGGAATGGAAGCTATGCATCTAACATGGCCGTCGCCTTTTTGCGGGGAAAGATACCTAATAGTTGGCAAGTACAACCCGTTATAGTACATTTATCAGCATGACCTCACAAAGTTCATGACCTTTTATGCAGAGCTCGTATCAAAGGTGCTTACGGTCGTAGGGGACTTGCACCGCAAAACCTAATGGCGGGAAATTCATGCACACGTTCCATTGAGTTTTGCAGAGCGGGCAAGCTTATGCATGCGCAGGACAAGCAGCACGTTAACTTGTCGTCTTCTTCTGGTCGTTGAATGTGCAGGGGAAGGGGAGTCACAAGGATTTTACCGGTTATATCTGGTCGTACTCGCCAGACGTGAATCGCGGTTGCAGGTACAAGCACGGATTTGACTTTCTTCCTGCAAATACACACCACCGTACAAGGTGGCCACTGGTGTGGAGGCGTTGCTCGTATGAGCCTATCCAGTATGTTTGCATGCGTAAGTACCACTGCATTGCTCCACCTATTTGTGCCTGATGTACATCGACGATACAGCTTGGGAACAATCCTGCGTTTAGCAATGTCACTCCTAACGCAGCAGTTATAACTCCAATTAAGTATAGCAATGACCAGCATGTCCTTTCCAGAATAGTCTCTCATCTTCACAGGGACACAATTTAACTCTTGCCACCGTTCCCAAGGGAGCTCATGATGACGGGAATGGTCGTCTGCGGGTGTTGAACAGAGCATCCATGATCCCAGGGTGCTCACATGCATTATTCTTGCAATCCATATTTGGCAATGCGCACTGGGCTTCCTCCATTCAACACCGTTGCTCTAGTATGTGAAGGGCTCTACTAATGGAGATAGTTCGTAGGTGGATTGTGGTGTAAAGGTATGACTCTCTCTCCTTAGGCCGTACACTGTAGCGTTCGGAGTTGCCAAGGGCAGCTATGTGACTCGAAAACTCCGTACGGCGGATAGGAGTGCAGTGTCTGTAAGACTTTCCGTAGACCAAATATGTATCTTACTGACGTAATTACGTTGTACGGAACCTCTTTATCATTAGAACTGCCAATGTTCTTTGCTTCTGTAGTTGAAGGATCTTGTAGAGGGCGTAATGGGGTGCAGGGCGCACAGCGAAGCTCCCTTCATGCCCCTGTGTAGTGTGTACTGGTCAGATCTTGACCAAGTGGGTCTGAAACACAACTCCACTGCTGAAACCAATGCACCTTCTTCTAAGTATGCGCATTGTCATAGAAAAATAAAATAAAAAATGAAACAATCCTTCTGGCCAGTTGCGGTAGCACCAGTGTAACGCGCCGGCTTTCCTAGTGTTCCCTTAGGGGTCGTCGCAAACGTTTTCTGTCGTCCCTGAAACGAACACCGTTCGTTTTGTACTCGGACCTCCTCCCCTCCTTCTGAAACGAACACAGCTTGCTATGCTGGACGACGGAAATCGCATGCTTGCACAGTACAGTGTCGGGCGACTCGCGATTTTGGCTCGCACCCCCCCCCCCCCCCCCCAACAGATCATGTTTGTTTCAGGGACGACAAAAAAACTTTTGCGACGACCCCTTATTGAAATCTGCTGCTCTCCGGTCCATGGATATTTCCGCTGACTTTCCGTTTTCAAACGTTCTGCTTCCTTAGTTGTTAACAATGAATGGCTACTTTTAGTGCTATTTTTTGCCAGTTTCTCTTAGGATTTCGGGATTCTCTCACTCAATTATACCAAGGAAATCTATCCCGGTCTCTCAGTTACAATAACTGCAGCCAAGAGGCTGTTTGGCGGTGGTGTAAAACTGTGTGTGAGATGTAGTGTCTGCAAGGGAGTATACACACCCTGAGGAAAGCATTTTGTGATTCCCTAATAGTAACGTGTGCCGTAAAGTCTTGTATAAAAGCCGCACTTGAATAGAATCCGCCCTCGAATAGAAGCCGCAATTTTGGGCCCATCAAATCACACATAAGCCTGGTTTTAGTGCTGACATACATAGAAATATCTGTCTTGTATAGAAGCCTGTCTCATATCGAAGCCTGCAACATTTCACCAAGAAAGTCATAAAAGCCGCACCTTTTATACGAGACTTTACGGTATACCATCATTTATCGGTTGTAAAACAATTCCCCCTGCAGTTCACCCCTTACCCGTACTTGGAGGAGCCTCGACTTCTCCATCTACAATTTTTAAGGGCAATTAAATAGTGTTGAAACGATCTCACCGGGTACTCGTTAGCTCGCTCGCCAGAAACTCGGCTCGTTTGTGCGGCCAGCTCGTTTGCACTAACGAGCACCGTACACCATACTCCGTACATATTTCAGTACATTTCTATCGGGGAGTCGTAAAATATTGTACAACTCTCTGGTCGATCGAGAGTCCAGTCCCGGGCAAAGTGAAAATCACTCGCAGTTACAGTGGCTGTATACCTGCACGACACTTAAGTTGTTTCAGTTGTCGTTGCAGCTTTGGTGGACTCCACTGATGTCTTGTTCTGCATCTGCTAACCTGTCGCAGGACACGCTTCGGTCAACTCTGCATTCGAGTGAAAGTTACGCTCAGTCGTTTGGAAGTTCTCCCGCGATGCAGCGAAGAACAAGGATACTTGCAATCGTTGCAAAACAGTCTATTCTTACAAAGGCTGCTCAAAGACGGCGCTGAAAAATATCTCGACACCAAACAGCAGTCCAAAGTGAAGCAGCAGGGACCCCAAATGTCGGCGGTGATAATTTGAACCAGATGAAAAAAATCGAACTGTATAAATAGAAAAAATATCCAAAAAATGATTATTTGCAATTTTTGTCACATCAATGAAACTCGTTAGCTCGCTCGATAGCTTGCTCGGTAGTGGAACTGATCGGTCGTTTGTTATAGATACGCTCGTTTCAACACTACAATTAAACCATTGTTGTAAGTCGACTTCCTCTTTTTGTCCGGCTTCCAGGCCATCACTGGTTGACGTATAGTCGATCAATACGGGAAATTGTGTTACTTGTTTGTATCATCAGTGTTCTTTATTTTAACGTTTGGCGTGTTTTAGGAAACACAAGAACTTTAAAAAGGGCTATATGCAGTGGCTTTGCCCTGTATTCTCACTCGGACAGTAATAAAGTTATTTCACATGCTATGGCAAATGAGAAATGCCAGAATATTGTTGGCATGAACCTTCCGACGGCAGAGCAATGGGAGGGTTTGAAGGCGTTAGCAAAGACGTTGCCCAAGAACAACTTCGGCTGCAAGGCAATGGTTGACGAATACAAAGATTCTGGAATTTTGCGGATTTCGGATACGGGTCGCAAGGGAAAATTCCTTTGTTTCGGTAAGTGACAGTATTATTTATAATGGTGAGGCTGTCGCTTGCATCGTGTCTCCAATTTTGCTAAAATCTTGCAGGTGTATTTTCCTTGGGTCTAAAACAGCCATGCAAAAGGATTCGTTGCGCTACGTACGGACACCTGAGAACTGGGACCACCTCGTACACAACGGTACAAAGAACAAAAAAGTTGAATAAAACACCGCCATACCAACATCACCTCGCCTCAGCAGTCTTCATATTCCGCCGTCCGGAGCCATGCTGACATACAGGAAAGCAATGGCCATCATCTCCAGATATCACTAAACATTTTAGTGAAAATTGGAGAAGTCCAACAAAATTTAATATTGAAGAAATCTTGATTTGTATAATCAGGGATCAAGAACTTTGCCCGGCCAACCCTTGTCACTCCAAGAAACAAGCATTAGACACCCTTAGCAAACAACGTTATGTTGTAACGGTATTACCGTAAGGGGGAAAACACCGTGATTTGGGCTCGACCTTTAGCAAGATGCACGCTATTTTAGTACGCTGTTGCCACGAGAATAGCTTTTACTTCGTGCGGTACAACCATTTATGTCACTATATACGCGATACAAGGTGAAATGCGTACGGACTATGCAATGTTGCCTATCTATCTCTATCTTTCTCTCTCTCTCGCTTTCTTTCTTTCTTGTTCCCTGACTGCCTCTATCTCTCCCTGTGCTCTCACGATTGCAGGCTGCCGTCCACTTGTCAGCCAGGACACAGGAATAAATTACGTAACGCCGAATGGCACCGTGGTTTGTCACGATCATCGCCGGCCGCGCCGTTTGGCGAGCACAACAGGAGCTCCATACTGTGTTAATGGATTTTGGAGGAACTTGGACAGCTGTGAAAGTGAGCTTTTATATTCTCACTTATGTTGGTTTTCTCCTAACTCTGTCTATTTATCTAGTCAATCCATTTTCTATCTCTATCCCTGGCCATCTATGTTTTTCTCTATCTCTTTCTGTGTGTGTGTGTGTGTGTGTGTGTGTGTGTGTGTTTGTGTGTGTGTGTGCGTGCGTGCGTGCGCACGTGTGTATGTGTGTGTGTGTGTGTGTGTGTGTGTGTGTGTGTGTGTGTGTGTGTGTGTGTGTGTGTGTGTGTGTGTGTGTATCCATGGTTAACACTTAACAGGTATGTATACTTCAAATAGAAAAGTATATGAACCCTGGAACCAACAACATGGACTGCTTCTGGCTAGATTAAGTCTTGTGTAATCAAAGGTGCTAGTGAAGCTTATATCAGATCCACTCTGATTTAGCTACCCACACTAGTAGCAAGTATTACCTTCACTGGGGGCAGGGGTAACTGCAGTTGGATCCCTGGACGGATACCTTGATGCCGTCAATCCTTTTTCTGCACCTTGTCCTCACCCACTTACCGAGGTGTGGTGAGCCAATAAGTGGGATCATTTTCAAGTCCACCCAGAGTTTTGGGGATTTCAGGGGGTGTCGGCCGTTGGGCGGTTCTATAGCCAATTGAGTCATCTTTCCAAGATTCCTTTTGAGTCTCTCTCTTCTCCCCGGGCAGACCCACGTGACCAGTTTTGGCAGTGGGCAACAAGTACAAGTAAAAGTGTGTGTGTGTGTGTGTGTGTGCGCGTGTGTGTGTGTGTGTGTGTGTGTGTGTGTGTGTGTGTGTGTGTGTGTGTGTGTGTGTGTGTGTGTGTGTGTGTGTGTGTGTGTGTGTGTGCGAGAGAGAGAGAGAGAGAGAGAGAGAGAGTATGTGTGAGCCACTTTTTAATCAACGGTGCTAGATAATCATACCATTATATCCACTCTGATTTAGCACACTACAGTCCATTTCCAAAAGATTACCAATCAAGGCAATCGCCCTGGGGGTTAGCCGTTTTCCCGTTTGAGCTCCCTGGAATAACTCGCCGAAATTTTGTTTTGCTAAGTTCAGTGTGACAGTGTATACAGGCAGCAGCAGTACAGGCCAAACATTTAATGGGAACAAAATGTGTTGTAGCCCTGGGAGGTGTATTGCCTTCCCCGAGGGCAGGGGTATACGCAGTCGGATCCCGTTATTTATTTGTTTTATTTTATTCCAAGCAATACATGGCTGGGGTAGCCAATGACCACTTTGCGTCACGGGATACGCTGCTGCAGTCAGTCTATTTTCTGCAACTTGTCCTCATCCACGAACAGTGGGATGGTGAGACTATTATGCTGAGTCATATTTTCTAGTCCACACACAGTTCGCTGATTTGGGTATTGTCAGCTCTTGGACGGTTCAATAGCCAATTGATTTATTTCTTCCAGGATTTCTTCTGAATCTCTCACCCCTCTGTCAAGGGGAGAACCATGCATCCAGTTTATGACAGTGAGCAAAGCATGCAGGCGGACAAGAAAGCAATGTGTGTATGTATAAGTGCAGATATAATCATGCAATGTACTAGTATTGCTGGTGTGTTTGCGTGCTTGCATCCTGTTGTGTACGTGTGTGTGTGTTTTTAGGAGTACTTGATGTACACCGTTACGATGTTTTACAGGTCCGCACTCCGAATTGGACTATGGACTACAGAAGTAAGTAGTTCTGGAAGGAGTGTTTTTAGGGTCTGAAAAGACTAAACATTTCCCAATTCTCAAGAAGGAAGGCTGCTTTCAAAGAAAGGTTCGATGCCCGCTTTCTGAACATGCACAGTGAGATCTTCTTCACACTCTGGAAATGCATACCAAAGAGCATGACGCACCAAGAATAGCAACAACATGTTGAAACAGTACTACCTGCCAGGGGTCTCGGACATTACGGTACGGTCATTACGGTATGTGCCGTATCACTATTTGCCCAACGTGCCCCGTGAATCAATTAAATACACCGATAGTCGATACATGCAAAGATTGATGTTGCCTGGTGATCGTAGTAATACGCGCAACTCACAGTGGCGACACAAGCTTCCAATCTCTCTCTCTCTCTCTCTCTCTCTCTCTCTCTCTCTCTTGTGTACAAGGCTCTGTCCTGTATACGGGTATTTTAAGCACTCTTCGGACAGTGGAGCACGCTTCTTGATGATGCCTAGATTATTGTACTTCGAAGTAAGTCTACATGGGAGAATGTGTGCACGTATTCCATGCTAAGTATTGCACTATTCAAATAGCCACAAACTCATTAGAGGTCTACCCTGGCTACTGTACCCAGTACGGGGGGGGGGGGAGGGTCAACATTGGCTGTCTCAGGGGTCGTCCGCAAATGCTGTTCTGTCTTTTGTGGACTCACCAGTGCAGCACAGAGAAAACAAGGGCCGAACCTGATAGAAATGAAAAGATAAAATTTCCAAAACAGATTTGAGCCAGGCCTGAGTGTACCTTGCCAGAGTGCTCAAACAGACAAGTCAGTGATCTTTGCGTAATACCAACGATAAAGGCTGCCACTCTCTATAAGTCTGTCTGTCCGTCTGCCTCTCTCTCTCTCTCTCTCTCTCTCTCTCTCTCTAATTATGCCTGTCTCTCTCTCTCTCTCTCTCTCTCTGTCTGTCTCTCTTTGTCCCCCCCTCTCTCTCTCTCTCTCTCTCTCTCTCTCTCTCGCTCTCTCTCTCTCTCTCTCTCTCTCTCTCTCTCTCTCTCTCTCTCTCTCTCTTTCTCTCTTTCTCTCTCTTCCCCATGATTTAAAACCGGCTGCTCTCTGCATGTGTGTTTTGTCCTAACATCTCTAGTTTGCAGAGGGTGGCCTTATCCATGGACAATGGTGGGTGTTGTAACTTGCCCATGGGGTCACGTGTGGCAATGTCGCACAACAGGTCCCAATAATGTCCCAATACCAGGCCGTGAATGCTCCAGAGTAGCTGGTAAAATCTACCTGCCCCAATGCGCCAATAATTTATGGATGAATATTGCTACGTGTTATCGAAAGGGTAAGCTGAAATACTTCACCTATTGTGGTGGATAGATTGGGTGAGCCATACGGACTAATTCTTGAAAGAATAGGGTCTCTATTTTCCTAACCTGGGCGTCATCTCCACACTGCAGGGGATAGACTTGAGCTCACTCAGGACATTGTCCAGAAGATTCCCTTACATGCAGTGTGACCGTGCCAATGTGAAATGGACAGGGCACCGGTGATGGGATGCCACAATTCATTATCATCCATTAGCACTCGGACAAAGGCCGAAGATTGGCACCCACCAGGCTGGCGTCTAGCGGTCAAAGTTGATACGCTGGCTATCGCCCGCATCACCTCCTACTTGGCTGGTGCCAGTGGTTGTGAAGAAGTTAAAAAATAAAATGCAATGAAACCCGTCTAACCTGTGTAAGACGACCGCTCAAGGGACCTTGTAAATGTGGCCTCTGTTAACAGGTGGCATCCTTATCCAGGGTCATCGGACTGGAAATGGCATCTCTTGGGACTGGTCACACCGGTCTTTTGGGGCAGGTGGTCGCCTTATCCGAGTCAGTGTCGCCTCGACAGGTTTTACTGTAGATAAAGGAGTAGAGTCAAACCTGTGAAGGCGACCACTCGGATCAGGCGACCACCTGTCCCAGAAGACCACATGCAACCAGGACCAAGGAATGCTATTTCCAGTCAAATGACCCTGGATAAGGAGACCACCTGGTAATAGAGACCACACTTTGAAGGTCCCTTGAGCGGTGGTCGTCTTAGACAGCTGTTTTACTGTAGTAGATCTGATTCCCTGGACCTCAGGAATTAAATTGAAAAAAGGAGGACAATGAGAAAAATCACCCTGAGTTCCTGCTGTAATGACCAGCTTGTCAATAACCTCTAACCCAGTCTCAAGCAGACCGCGAATGTTGTTGTCAATGATCATTCCCACTTTGGGCGAGGTAAAACGGCTCCAGCCATTTGTTACAACTAAAGTTGTGCTTGGTGAAATCCGACCCAAACTGCAAAACTGGTGCGCTGGGCCAGTTCCGATCACATTACTGCATTTCTACATATGTACGTTCAGCCGCATTCGTGCCACTTCCAGGGCCGTCAAGGGCCGCGCAGATTGAGGGCGCCAATTAGACACTCTGGGTCGGATCTCACCGAGCGAGACTTCACTTGACCCAGTTCCCATGTCTTTAACCCTCTCACTACCAGCCATTCAAATATCGATCCTTGTGGATCGATGCAATAGGCGATCACTAAATATTTTGTCACACGCTCAAATGTTGTCGGATTATTACAAATGAGGGCTCTACGCCTTCAGAAAGACTTTGACAATCGACTGCAACTATCAATTTCACTCCTTGGTGCATAATTGGTACACGACGAAGTATTTTGTAGACTGTGAATTGACTCAATTGCGAAAATAATGGGTAGTGAAAGGGTTAAAAAGTAATATCCTGATTTGCACCTACCGTATTTCCCCGCAGATTGTAAGTCACACCTTTTTACACCATACTTCAAAAGTAAAGAAGGGGTGCGGCTTACAATCGAGTGTGACTTGTGTCACTTCCCACTCATCTGAATGTATTCATACAATTTGGTTCAGACCTAAAAATGGGTTGCGACTTATAACCAAGTGCGACTTATAATCGGGGAAATACGGTATTTTAGCGCGCTGCTGGAAGTTTTGTATGTTCTCTTGTGTTCTTTCTTCTGCCGAGAACAGAAGTTGGTTTCCCTGACAACTACGATCGATCTGGTGTTGACCTTGAACCCCGTACTGCTACTTTCAAATGCAAACCCGACTACTTTGAACAGTGCTCTACTCCGCCGTGTGCTGGAGGGAGGTGGAATCAAGCGGCTAACTTCAGTGGATCACCCCTGCGATGGGATAATCTCCCCAACTGCAGACGGTTCCGTAAGAAGCATTGTCGGAACTGGCCTTGATTTCGTGTGTTTCTTTTATTACCACAGTTCTGGCAACTGAAATCCGACCCCCTGAGCGGTGCGCTCACATCGCAAAGAATGTGAACCCACCGCTCAGGGGTCGGATTTCAGTCGCCAGCACTGTAGTATCCTTCTTTCCCTTCTGCTCAACAAAGCAAACATTGATCAAGTTCACCATTGCAGTACAGGGAGACATGGTTAGGAAGAACACCGAAAAGACAAATGTTTGCTTAAGAAGAACTAGTATTCATAACTCCATTGGATAAATCACTGTGTATTCATTGGGTATAACATACGGATAAGAAGAACTCCCGTTATTGCGAACAAATATCATCGGTCCCTTGGTGTTCGTCCTAAAGAGGTTTGACGGTAAAAAAATTAATCGTTTTAGAAGTTTTACTGGCTAGCCGTTATAAACTTGTAGCATAGCGAGCAGGTTTCGTGTATGTTTCATTACGGCATCGCACAGCATGCAGCCTGCATGTTTCATTACGGCATTGCACAGCATGCAGACGAACTGAACCCGCATAAGGTCATAGGCAGCACGACCAGGAGGAAGCTCTTCGGTTTTTGGCTGCGTAAACGTATGCGTTTCGTTATGTCGTGTTCCTTGCTACAGTGCCTGTGAATGAATGGATGATGCGACCGCCTAAGCTTTTTTGATTACGGGTGAAACGACTGAGTTGATAAGGATGAGTCGATTGAAGAAGAACCCATATCCGCTAGCACACATGTGAAACATGTAAATGCTCAGAGGCACATGAGGTTCATGCACTTGTGCTGTGCATTCAGGCCACGCACTGTTATGCACACTTGGTACATGAGTCTATTTCACTTCCACATGCAGCCGAGTACGAAAATGCTACATGCCACATACCACGCTGCTCAGTTGTTCCTTCCACTGCCTCTTATGTTCTTTGAGCGTCCAACCATGCCTCCATTATGACGTTAGCAATAACGTTTTCTGCCTTGTGTGTGTGTGTGTGTGTGTGTGTGTGTGTGTGTGTGTGTGTGTGTGTGTGTGTGTGTGTGTGTCTGTGTGTGTGTGTGTGTGTGTGTGTGTGTGTGTGTGTGTGTGTGTGTGTGTGTGTGTGTGTGTGTGCATGTGTGTGTGTGTGCATGTGTGTGCGTGTGTGTGTGTGTGTGTGTGTGTGTTCGTTTGGCCGTGTGTGTGTGTGTATTACATACCTCTTGTTCCAAAACAGATTCTGCCGAGTGCCTGAAATCTCGGTTCCAGTTTACATGGTCCAGTACTACTTATGATCGCGCTGCCATGGCGTGTGACTCCATAGGCCAGGTTCTTGTCAATGAACGACTCTTTGAAAAGCAGTACAGTTTGCAACAAAAATGTCTGCTCCAGACATTGAATGGTGCTGTTATGTGGGTCCGAAGCCCCAATGGACCCATGGAGTACAAGTTTGGAAGAGACTCCATGCCTGTACCGTTGCCAAATGCTAACTCTGAGCATACGCGTCTCTTCCTATGCATGCCAGGTGCGTATTGGGTACAGGCTTTTTGAATTTGCTTGTGCAGAGCAAGAACACTGTGCTTGGACATATCCTTGCCTGCATGCTTTGTAAAAACATACACATACACGCACACACATGTACACAAACACATACATCCTTCCCTTCCGCCCTTCTTCCACTGCTATGACTGGCTATGTGGCCCCATAAGGGGTTGACCAGGAGGCACGTTGTCCATCGGGTGGGAACGTCAGACTCAGCCGGCTGCGTGAACAGCGTACACTGCACACATATATACACATGCACACACGCGCACTCTCTCACACACACACACACACACACACACACGCACACACAGGACGACGGAACACTCTGTCACAGCGGTAGTTGGGGCACTGGATGTCTGGGGCTTCCTTCTCGGCCCTCTGTCGACAATACTGAAACCAGGCGGATCTCTCCTGCGCTGTGTCATAGCAAACACACACACACACACACACACACACACACACACACCTACACACACACACGCGCGCTTTTACTTACATTTTGCTCACTGCCGGAAACTGGAGATGGGAGAAAGATTCTAAAGGAATATCGCTGAAATATCGAGTCAATTGCCTATTGAAACACCCCATGAAGACCAGTGAGCAGAAAGCCCAACGTGCGGAAATGAGCATCTATGTGTGATACTAAGTAAAGAAAGGGAAAAGACGGATGAGTAAATAAGTCTTTTGAATTTTGAACATAGGCGGTGGATATTGATAACTGTTGATTGTTGTTCAATGTTGTTTTCTGCCTGCAGCTGAACTAATGATCACTAATGATCACTGCGACGACAATGCGTACGAGCCCTTGCCAGTTGCCCTTCTAAGGGAAGGTAAGTTTTCCCTACTTCCTGGGCAATGGCCACTTTCATGGAAACGGTATTTTTGATAGCAAAGATTGCGAGTACTCAATCTCTCCCCGACAACAGCCAGCCAGAAACATATCTGCACCCAAAAGACAGTAGGGAGAAATCTGCATCTTCACACACACACACACACACACACACACACACACACACACACTTGAACAGTCCGGACGAGACAACAAAATTGCTAAGCCGCACTTTTCTTCTCCTTCTTTGCAAGGGGTGGCGTTCCAACGGATACTGGAAACTCATTCTAACTGAGTCTCAAAAGAACAGTGAAATGTTTGTTCTTCTACAAGTACTTGACCAAAGAGAGGTTTTAACGCTTCATGTTAAGTCCTGAGGCCTGCGAACTTTTCCGTCAAGATTTCAAAAACACTTGATGTATTCTACGTTAGTTGACTGCACCGCACGTAGTTACGTGACGTGGATTATTGGAAGTAGCGTTTGGTCATCCCGACCGGATTTGCGCGAGTGTTTCCATTTTTGTGAGTGTGCGTATTTCGATCGGTTTTGTTGGAAGATTCAATTTTTGGGTTTTGAGAAAACTCTGTTGTTCGAACTATTAAATCCCGAATTTTACCTTTCCCGTCACGTCGCATGTGTAACTTGACAGCTCTGAACAGGTACACGTAAGTTGAGATTTTCACTACGCTTAAACAACAGTAAAATAACGTGTAACCTAACCTCTCTATTACACCCATGTGCTTTTCCTCATCCCCCCCCCCCCCCCCTGTTATGTAACTTACTCTCTCTTTATCTTTATCTCTCTCTCTGTTTGTGTGTGTATGTTTGTGTGTGTATGTGTGTGTGTGTGTATTTGTGTGTGCATTTGTGTGTGCATTTGTGTGTGTGTGTGTGTGTGTGTGTGTGTGTGTGTGTGTGCGTGTGTGCGTGTGTGCGTGTGTCTGTCTGTCTGTCTGTCTCTTTCTCATTCTCTGTTTCTGCCTCTCTCTGCTTGTCTGTTTCTGTCTGTGTGTATGTCTAAATCTGTTTCTCTGTTTCTCCATCTGTGTGTCTGTCTCTGTTTCTCTCTTTTTCTTTTTCTTTGGTACTACCAGCAAAGGATATCTGTTCTCTACGACGAGGAGAACTGGTGAAGGACAATTCCTTCTTCTCAGCACGCTGTCTGATTCTTTTCCGCTTGAGGACAGGCGTTCAAGATCCCTATGTTTGTCATGTTCCAAAACGTGAGTGGGTACCTAATCAGCTCTGCATCAACTAGTCGCAAAGCACAGCCCTATACTAATGATAATTTTGCATATCAATGCAGCTGGGTTTTTACTATCAGCTCCCCTACGAGCACTGGAAAGACCTTTAAAACAAACATCAGTGCTGCACTTGAAGTAGCTAGACTTTTCCCTGTGAAGAATGATCATCATCGGCTCGTTGGCTTGCGGCATACAGTCCTAGCAGCTTACCAGGCTGTTCAGCCGTCCTGCTTGGAACAGGATAGTCCTGCTTCTGACCAACGCATTTGTATGCATTCACAATGGAGATAATTGCCTTTGTATACAAAGGCGCTTAAGCCTGATTCATACTTCCTTTCGCACACAGGAAGCGCGTCGCGTCGCGAAAAAGTTGATCTGAGCTCAACTATTTCGCGTACGGGAAAGCCACCGCGCGATGGTCGCGCGATGACTTTTCCGTACGTGAGATGAAGTAGGAATCGGCCTTTACTGTGTTTCTCCACATATGAAACCAAGGCAATATTGGAGAGAAATCGCTGTTTTCGACCTAAATTTTGA